TTGGTCAACAAGAAATTCATTATAACCATTAGAGTTAATGCCACTTTGAATTATACTTAGCTTATCTTCAATAAGTTTAACATTGTCATGTACATTCCCAAAATTTTCCTTGTTCCACTTTTTAAGCATACACTTCACAATTGTAATTTCCCATTAAAGACAGACACGGGGAAACCAAATACTGGGATATGCCAGCTAGATTTGATTATACTAAAGTAATATGGATGAAACTTCCACATCAGAAGAAACCTGAATTAAGAGGAGAATTTTGTGGTATGGAAGTTAAAGTCTATTAGGAGAGGGTAATGGTTTGAAATAAACCTGGTAAGAGTGGAACAAGAGATATAATTAAAAGCATTTATCTAGAGTTGGTTGTAAGTTTCCCTATTTAGTAGAGGTGGCAAATGGGCATGTTCGCCCTACAAAAGCCCATAAAAAATAGGATATAGCAGACATAATTGAGAGTGCGGGCCTAAAATCTTGACCCACCTTGCAAAATAATAAGAGCGGGGCGAGCCCGCGGGCACTACATCTTTTTAGCTTAAAAATGCAAAAAAAATCATGTTAATACTCGCACCTGCAAAAAAGATGAGGCGGGGCGGGGTGGACATATTATAGAGTGCATTCATAAACCCTTGGCCCACCCCCTCACTATCTAACCTTCTTTGAGTGTTGGAACTCCCTATTCTACCATTATTCTAGGTAAGGGGAACTCTAGAGGTAGGCATGTGATAAAGGTGGTGAGTCTCAGACCAGTTAGACAAATCTAAAATTGGGGTTTTGCGAGGTTTAGTAGATCCAAGATATTGATGAGCCCTTAAAATTGATTTGAAATCGCCAATAAAGCACCAAGAAAGAGAGTATTTGGAAATTATATAACTCATAAAACTCCAAAGAATTCTTCTAAGGACATGGTTGGTAGATGCATAAATAGTTGCCAACCATATCCTTATACCACAAACATTCATAGTAAAGGAAACATATTGGTATTTTAAGTCTAGGACCTTAGTGTGAAGACCCTTATCATAAAAGCACCAATTATTAAGTTCCATAACCACCCTAGAAAACATCATCCAGGGTTCAAAAATAATAAAACAAATTGAGGCTTGTACTCGATAACAAGTCTTTTAAGAGCCAATTTGGTAGGAGAGTTGTCAATTACTATCACTTTCTAATAGATACACTTCATGAGAAAGGTGTGTGCTTACCAGACCTTGATCTGGTGATATGAGTTTTGCTTTTCTAATTTCTCTTTCTACTTTTAGATTTAACCAATTAAAAAGGTGCTTCATGCTCAGGTTGGAACTCAACTAGGTTGACAACATCCTTCTCATGTTCAACAATGTTTGCCTATGATTTATTCATAAAATCCATGTATTTTTAAAGTATCTCTTTTATCTTTGACAAGTCCACCATTGAAGTGTCACTAATAAACTCAGACTCAGATGTGCTCCGGGTGGAAGCATTGTTGAAGTCCATATTTTGATCAATGATGGCCAATTAAGTTTCATGAACTATATCAATATCTTCTTCTATCAGGATATAAACAAATTTCTCCATAGAAACCAGTATAGGATTGACCTTTACCCGAGTATCATAATAGCCAACATATATCCCTTAACGCACAACGTAGGCAGTTGACTGAGCAGGATGTTGCACACTTTGTTCACAACTTCAACGAAAGTTTGCTGATGATTTGGGGTTTTTAAAACATCAATAAACTTGTTTAGTGAGAGGGGATGTCTAGGAACAACCATGACACAATGGGTGTAGAAAAGGGAATGAAAATAGAAGGTAAAGATGGTCAGGCTTTGCATGATTAGTGCATTATTGCCTTCTCCAACTTCTTATTTATTCCCGTATTACCTTTAATATTATTTATAAGGTAAATAATCCTCTCAATTTTAAATATATATATTTAAATTTTATATTATTCTATATGAGACTCTTAACCTTAGATTGAAACGAAATGGATATAAAATCTGGGTTATATGGGATGGATATATGAATTTAACCTTGCAATAAATTAGTATTCAAACTATTTGTTCAGAGTCTCACATTAGACAATATATGAATTTAATATGTGTTTATAAGTAGGGGCAATCCTCACTTACAAACCGGTTTTGTTGACATGTGTTAGGTCTAACTATAATTTCAATACGGTATCATTGGTTGGTTTAAGATCAGTCACCTGCTATCAAGTTTTTGTTATCAGACCATCCATCATTTATGTCTACAAATAGACAATATATAGTATGAATATATATTTACAAGTGGAGTCAATCCTCACTATATACTTGTTATCATGAAACTTGTTTGGCTTAATTAGTCCCAAAGTCCTTGAACTTAACTTAAAGTTATAATATTTCCACTTAATTGAAAAAGATTACTCTTTAGTCCCTCAAAAATTGTTTTGTTAACTATTTTAGTCATTTCTGTTAACTTTTAATTTTAAATATATTAGATTAGAAAATATTGTTGATTGTCTACCATAAACTTTATTAATTATTTTAATATTATCCATTTTATCATTTTAACAAATTTCAGATCTTTAGATCCTTATGGTCTATTAATTCTAAAATTACTCCATCAACACCTAATACTACTTAGATATCTTCATGTTTTTCCCTTTGTTCTTCTTCATCTTTATCACCATTTTCATTGATCTTCATCAAAATTCTAGAAAATTTTTAAAAATAAATAAATCATTCATTATTAAAAAAACATTGAATCTAACTTCCTTTACCCATTTTTGTCTTAGTTTCATACTGAATAGTTGGATTCCCGAAGTTGCATGTAAGTGTTTGATTTATTTGTAACCAGTTTTTGGTAAACTGCATTTTTAAAGAGTAAGGCTTTGGAAAACTTGTTTGTGGCAAAGTTAAGGGAAAAGGGTTGAATTAAAAGTATTTATATATAGCTTCAACGAAATAACCATAAAGAAATGGTCATAACTGTTGGTTCACTAATTTGGTGGTCAACATGAGACACCATTTTTTTACAAAGGGGCCTTTTTTAATGAGCTAGACACTTTATAAGAGACATTCACTAAAAATCTTAAGGTGATAGGTGCGTGAGTTCCTCTAAATAAAATACTCAATCTCTACTTTTCTAATCTATATGGGATATTCTCAACACTTCTTAACTCGCACTTGCTTTTTTTCAATACTCCATCTCAAGAGTGAGTCTATCAACAATGCTCCCCCTCAAGCGAAAGCTCTTTCATCTATATACACTTGTATCATTGTTGCTACTTTTTAATGAGATATGCCTCTTACCCACTACCATGTGGGGAGAACTTTCGATACAAGTGAGTTAATCTTTTTCTTGAACCAATGATTCATGATACCATTGTTAGATGGTCAATTCTTTTGAGGTCAACATGAGGGAGCGTTTTTTATATTAGGACCTTTCTTAATGAGCAAGACACCTTGTGAGAGACACATCACATACTAATTAGATACCTTAAGATGATAGGCTAGTAAGTTCTCCCACTTATAAAGCGTTCAATCTCCACTTTTTAATCAATGTGGGACTTTACCACACTTTGTTTTTCAACACTTCTTAACTCACACTTGCTTTTTCTCAAAACTCCCCCTCAAGTGTGAGTCTATCAACAATGCTCTCTCCTAATGGAAGCTCTTTCGTCCATATTTACTTGTACCACCGTTAACAATTTTTCAACGGGACATGCCTCCTACCCACCATCATGTGTGAGGACTTTCGATACAAGTGAGTCGATCCTTGTCTCGAACCAATATCTCATGATACCACTGTTGAATCATCAAATCTGGGGGTTAACATGAGTCAGTATTTTTCGTTGAAGACTTTCTTTAAAAGTAACACACCTTGTGAGAGACATACCACATATTCAACTAAAACTTTAAGGTGATAGATGTGTGAGTTCTCTCACTTATAAAGTGCCCAATCTCCACTTTTCTAATTAATGTGAGACTTTCCCACACTTATTTATTAATACTTCCAACCCATACTTATATTTTTCAACAATAACGGAGGATTTTAGGACAAAAGTTGTTGTCTAGTAAGTCTAGTGAATCTTTCCAAGTGGTTATTCCTCGATATTATTTCCATCTCTTGCTAACTTTTGTTAGTAATTGTAAAGTTTTTGTTGTTGATTTTGGGGAAGAAATGTTTGTTATTTTGTGTATGGCTTTTAAGGTTTCGTGAAAGTGTTGTTTTATGTATGATTTAGTGGTTAAATGAATGATATGTATTGTAGTTTTACAGTGTATGTTGTGGTTTTGGAGAAAGAAATATGGGTTGTGATGAGGTTTAAGGGTGTCATAGTTATTGAGAGAATGTTAAGAATGATAATAACTAAAAAGAGATGGACTATTAGAATGGGTAAAGGAAGACTAGGTAAAGGAAGTTAGATTCGGCTTAAAATCTCTGTTTTTTAACAATGAAATTTTTTTCTATATGTTTTTAGGATTTTGATGAAGATCAATAAAGATAGTGATAAAAATAAAGACAAATGAAGAAGAAGATGAACTTATTTAAAGAATATTAAACGATGATGATGTAATGGTACAATCAATAGACCATTGAGATATGAATGTATAAAATTTGTTAAAATTGATCAAATACTCAATAAAAAATTAATAAAATCAATTGCGAACACTCAATATTATTGTCTTACTTAATATTCTTAAATTTAAAAATTAACATAAAAGATCAAATTAACTAACAAAATGTTTTTTGAGAATTAAAAGTAATACTTATTAAATAAATAATTAAAATATAAACTTAAATTAATATAAGATACCAAAGGTCGAATTGAACCAACTTTTTTAAAGCAGAAAACTTATTGATAGAAAGTTCAAAGATACTCCTTACAATATCATTATATTCATATAAATGATACTACAACAATAAGGAGTTGTAGACATAAACAAACCATATTATAGATAATTATATATATCATAGTAATAAGAAAACCCAACCATGCAACAAACAACATTCATGCATATATATATATATCATGCAGAACTTCCCACGCCTTTCTTCTTCTTGTTCTTGTCTTCCGCACCTTCTTTTCCCTTCTTCACTTTGTCAAAAAGTGGAGATGAGATTACTTCACATGAATTAACTACAACTTCCACGTTTCTGTTCATCTCTTCTACACCATTTGTATTTTGTTTACTCACTCTTTCTCTAAGTGGAGATGGAGATGACATTAGAATTCCCATTGGACTCAATATAACAACGTTTGTCATTGTTTGCTCTAGTTCAAATTCCTCCCTTGGAGCTGTGGCTTTGTTCCTATATATAAGATATAGTATCATCTGAAATAGTCCTAGTACGAAACCCAACACATTTGGAAGCTGCAAATAAAAAGATAAAAAATATATATAAGAGTTACTTTATTTCGATGTAACTATAGGGTTAGGGTTTTTCGGTGTGTGACTTGACTTCTTACCGCAATGCATATATCTTTGAGGAAGAGACCATAAGAAAACCAAATTACAGCACTTATTGAGAGAAAAAGTGACAAATTGAATGGCATAAATTCCACACTTTTTGTTTTGATAACCTTTGCCTACAAATCAAGAAATTATTTGATATGGAAGTTAGAATATTTTTCACTCACCATAATAAAACTTCAAACAAACTTAACACTTTAAACATCTTTGACTCACCACAATGGTTAAAGGTGCTGCAAAGACACAAATTGAAAAAGTTGTACAAAGCCATCCAAGGACTGTGACTTTGAGGGAACCATGCAGAGCAAATTGAATGACGAGAACTATCAACACAGAAGATGCCACGTTCATCACCGCGAATATTTTCAGGGTTAAGATCTGCAATTAAGAGTTATGTATTATGATCATGTGTTTAACATATAGAATATGGAAAGCATAAATGTTATTTAATAATTATAAAATTATAAGGGCTTATTTGTTTGAAGAGTTTAAATGTATATTGAAATTACAGGAAAAAAACATAAAATGAAATCCAATTTTGACATTTCTAATATTTAATGATAAAATACTAATTTTTTTTATTGTTGGTTTATAAATTTCAACAATTTATTTATACTAATACATAAATACATTTAATTAAAAAAAAAGTCTATTTTATGTTTGAGGTGTCAAAAATAAAATAGGCGAAATATATGAGAAATCCAGAATAAAAATGCTTAATAAAAATTGGAGCCTCTATTTTTAAGAGTGATATAATTTGAGCTTCTAGAACATTCACATTATATTAAATATTCTATAAAAATACCATTTTTATAATAGTTGATGTTATTTAAAGAAAGAGAAAAAGTAATATAAAAAAAGAAAGAGAAAAAATTATATAAATATGACATTATGTCTAAAGCATATAATAAATATGTTGTTTTGACCTTAAAAATAATGGCCACATTTTATTTTGTAATTTTATGATTAATTCAACTTTTTTAATACTATTTTTATAATGAAAAATAAAATACTTTTTAATTGAAAAACTCCAATAAATTTGGTCAAAATAAATTAATCTAAATTCAATCAAATTAGAAATTAAATTTTTTTAAAGCTAATTTTGAATTTATTTATTTCAGCTTTTTAAGAAATAATTTTTTTAGTATTATATATTTTGATTTTAAAAAAAATTAAACTTAAAAAAAGACTTCAAATAAAAAATTGATACACATAGTTATTCATAAAATATTATTTTAGATATTTCATCATTTTATTATAATACTTTTTGATATTTAAATTTTTTTAAAATTATTTAAATTTGAAACTATTTTAAATAATTTTGATAAAAATCACATTTGATATTTTTTTTATTAAAAAAATCGTATATTTTTACTATATTTTAATATTTATTTATGTCACTAGATGTCATAGATATTTTTAATTTACAAAAAAAATAAGTTTAAAAAACTTGTAAAAAAATTTAAAATTATTTTTGATAACATATAAAAAAAAAATTTTTTTAATTAAAATAAAGAGACCCTTTTATATGTGCAACTGACTCAAAACTATTAAATTGGAATGGAAAGAAAACTTATCTCTCTTAATCTAACCTAATGGTTTAAAGTCGGTTGCATCATACACCCGGTTGTAAAAAAATCCAATTTGATAAATTAGTAATAAAATTAATAATAATAAAATTTGTAATAAACTTTGATTGATGAATAGAACATACCCTGGCATTTTTGGTGGCGTAGATTGTGTAGATGATGATGTAAATAATCTCAACTACACATCCAAATGCATTAATGGTAATGAGGAATGTAGCATTTGTCTTGATTAAACCATAGTATAGCCAAAGCATGGAACTGAATAAAGCCACCAAGTAAGGCAAACATTGGAAACCTTGAGTTGATTTCCCTTTCCATATTCTGTAAAATGTTGGCCTGAAAATTTAGCAAAGAAAATAAATTAACAATTTCAGTTTAATTTACAATATTATATGTAATAATTAAATTAATATAACTTTTTTAATAAAAAAATTAAAGATTTTTCTTGATATATACTTACGTAGGAGCCAAGTACACCATGAAGGAAATGAAATTACCTAAGCATCAAATGAACATATGTTAAAAATCATCATTTGCAACCAAAATATTTGTGCACTTTTGATAATATCAAATATCACAATATAATCAATGGATTTAGATTTGATATAGTTAAAAAAAGTTTGCGTTTATGCATTTAAGTATATTTAATCGTCTGATTAAGATGAGATAGTTCTGATTTAAAATAGATATTTTTAAAGAAATTAAAGAATTTTGAAATAGATGGTTGTATAATTAAGATCAAACGATTAATATTATCGAAATCAAACTGTTAATATCATTTAGAAAACGAAAATGTGTGAAAACCCCGACTGCACCTGAGAGTGATTCAAATTCATAATCAATGACAATTTAAAACTTTGCATAAAAACTAAATCACCTAGTATGCCAAAAGCTAAAGCCAAATCAATGTGAAAATCCATGTCTTCTTTGGGTCTTTGGATTTTGAACAATATAGCACGAGAGGTTTAGGTGTAGGAGTTGATATAAGAATCTAAGAAACCTCAAGGGTTTCTTCCTATTCAACCTCCTAAACCAATGTATGTAAATAATGAAGCTGTTGAAGGGATTGAGCTACTCATGTCTTATATATATACACACTAAAGCAAGAAAAAGAAGCAGAAATCAATTTAAAAATAAAAATATATAAAATATAAAATATAAAATGAGATTCATGCACAAAAAAGTTTTGCATTTTTCATGAGGATTAATATTTTTAAAGATTATAGCGTTAATATATAATAGTTTTTTAATTTAAAATGAGAATGTTCATGTGCCATTTGTAACATAATCTATTTTTTTTATTATAAAAACTTGAAACATATATATTCTAGAAAATCCTATATATTATTTTAACTTAATTAATTAATTTTATAACGTTTTTTATACGACTCAAAGTAATATCTCAACCGTTCAATATATATCAATATTCTTTTTAGTAAATAATATCTCAACCGTTCAATATACGTCATCATTTCTTTTAGTAAATAAATTGGTTATAATGTTTTTGTTGCCATGTATATAATTGGTATTAATTATAATTGTAATTTTGCAAGAAAACACGTTCTTTATAAAGAAAAGCGAAAAAAAAAAACAAGAGATTCATATGATATTCGGTCATATACGCTTTGCATAGTCACAAATCACTACTATTTTCACTTCATGTCACGTTTTCTTTGCTAACACAATAGACAATTATTTCAAACATAAAAAATGATATCTCAATCGTTTAATGTGCATCATCATCCGTTTTAATAATATATTTAAAATGTTTTTGTTGTCATGTGTATAATCGGTATGATTTTACGATATAATTTTGCAAGAAAACACAATCTTTACAAAGAAAATGGGAGAAAATCAATATTTTCATGTTTACGCGCTTTGCAAAGTCACAAATTCTTTGCTTAACATATTTTCTTTGCTAACACAATAACCAATTATTTCAACTTAAAAATGATATCTCAACCACTCAATATGCACCATCATTCCTTTTTAATAATGTATTATTCAAAAAACACAGGTGTGCAAGATATTCCTACGAGGAGAAGGGATACTCACTAATTTTAATAGGTTTATAATAATTGAGTTTAGGGTTTTTATATAGAGGTCTTGGGCCTATGGTTTTTTTGGGAAGAGTCATTGTCCACTTAGTTAATGGTGGACCGTTGAATCTCTATTTTCTATAGAGTATCACAAGGCCTTAAGTTTCTTGATGATATGCGTGATGATCCATGCTGATTTGGCTTTGGGCTTTTAAGAGAGATTATATTGCTTGACTGATGAGATCTATAAGTCCATCAGGAAAAGTGATATGAAGCCTGAGTGATGAGACTGTAAGTCCTTTAAGCGAGGCATTGGACCTCTCGGGCAGGGCTTCTATCAAACCCTTAGACAAGACTTAGAATTAAAGTGTCTTAGACTAGACTTCAGTTGCGCCTCTTAGGCGAGATTTCAATGTTTGGTTCCACCTGAGCAAATTCTAAGTTTCTTAGGCCGGGATCTTAGATATCATGAGAATCTTAGTCCCTCAAGAAAAGTTATATGGGTCTGACTAATGAGAATGGAAGACCCTCAGACGAGGCGTTGGACTTATCGGGCGAGACTTCTATCAAGCCCTTAGATAAGACTTAGAATAATTTCTCTTAGGATATACTATAGTCGCGCCTCTTGGATGAGATTTATATATTTCATCCATCCCGAGGAAACCCTAAGTTTCTCAGGTTGGGATTTTAGATAGCTTGAGAATCTTATCCCCTTAGGTGAAGCTATGTGGAGCCCAACTAATGAGACTTTAAGTCCTTCAGGCAAGGGATTGGACCTCTCAGGAAAGACTTCTATCAAACCCTCAAAAAAGACTTAGAAGTAAGTCTCTTAGGCTAGACTTCAGTCGTGCCTCTTGGGTGAGTTTCTATGTCTGGTCCCACACGAGAAAACTATAAGATTCTCAGGTTGGGATCTTAGATAGCATGGGAATCTTAGTCCCTTAGGCAAAGTTATATGGATCCTGATTGATGAGAGTGTAAGTCTCTCATGCGAGGTGTTAGACCTCTCGGGAGAGACTTCTATCAAGTCCTCAAACAAGACAAAGAATTAAGTCTCTTATGCTAGTCTTCAAACGCGCCTCTTGAGCGAGATTTCTATGTTTGGTCCCGCTCGAGGAAACTATAAGTCTCTTAGGAAGGGATTTTTATATATTTTATTCGTATTTCCCTAAAGGACATAAATGATCTCTTACAGGAATTCCAACATATAAAATATTTCCTTAAGAGGTGGCAATGATCTTCGCTATGAAGTCCAACATATAAAACATATCCTTAAGAGACGATAAGGATCTTCGCCATGAAGTTCAACATACAAAATATTGCACTAAGGGGCGGAAAGGAACTTCAACATGAAGTACATCATACAAAACATCACCTTAAGAGGCAATAAGGATCTTCTCTATGAAGTCCAGCATACAAAATATTCCTTTAAGGGGCGACAATGATCTTCTCATGAAGTCCAGCATAAAAAAACATTGTCTTAAGAGGAAGCAAGGATCTTCGCTATGAAGTCCAGCATATAAAACATTGCCTTATGTAAGAGGCGGAAATTATCTTTGCCATGAAGTCTAGCATACAAAATATTGCTCGAAGAGGAGGCAATGATCTTTGTCATGAAATCCAACATACATAACATTGCCTTAAGAGGCGACAAGGATATTCGCAATGAAACCCGACATGCAAAATAACGCCTTAAGGGGTGGCAATGATCTTTGTCATGAAGTCCAACATACAAAAAATTACATTAAGAGGCAGCAAAGATCTCCACCATGAAGTCCATCATACAAAATATTTCCCTAAGAGGAAACAAGGATCTTCGTCATGAAGTCCAGCATACAAAACATTACCTTAAGAGGCAAGGCGGAAGATCTTTGCCATAAATTCCAGTATACAAAAAATTGCCTTAAGAGGTAATGATGATCTTCTCCATGAAGTCCAACATACAAAATATTGTCGAAAGGGGCAACAAGGATCTTCATCATGAAGTCCACAAAACATTTCCTTAAGAGGCAGCAGGGATCTTTGCCATGAAGTCCATCATACTAAATATTTCCCTAAGGAGCGGGAATGATCTTCGTTATGAAGTCTAACATATAAATTATTGGAAAATATTCTCACTGGTCATAAATATTCAGACAATTATTCATAGATAAGTTCTTATGTTTCTTAAGAAATTACAAATAATTCAAGTTGTAATAGTACTTAAGATGGATAACATTCTAGGTTCTAGGTAGGAGTTATCCTTCTAGTTCCTCCAACTTGTACGCCTCATAAGGGAGCTTCTGGAATATGCAATATAGCCCTTCCAATTTGCTTTTAGTTTTCCCTAATGTGAGGGCATAACAATTTTCTTTAAGACTAGGTCGCCTTCTCCCATGTCTCTTTTCTTGGCTTTAGATATATATCTTCTATACAATCTATGCTTGGCGGAGAATTAATTCATCAATCAAGTCTGTTGAACATTCCAATCCGACCTTGTTTACCTTTAGTTCAAACTGGGATCGTCTCCATGAGGGCATGTCAATCTCCACATGCACCATGACATCCTCTCCATATACCCTGGTGTTGTACCCCAAAATTTTCCCTCCCATTTCCTCAACATTTTCTCATCACAAGACCCTTGAAGCTCAAGATCCAGTTAGGGTTTCCCCTATTCAAGATTTCTCCTTGCACTGTTGACCCAAATTAGGGTTTGTGTTTGCACAAAGATATTTTGACCTAAAATGCCCAAGATGACTTTCTTGCTTCCTATTGGACTCCCAAGTTTATCCATATCAAGTTTCAAGTCTTGATTCCAGGTTTTGCCCAGTCAATTGGACAGTTGACCTAGAAATTAACTGTATTGGGGAAAAAGTCAACTGTGGCCAATTGACAGTCAAATCTCATGAAAATTGACCCACATCAACATTATGAACTCACATGGACCATTTGATCAAGTTTGGATCATAATTCCACAAGAAATTTGACCAGATCACCAAAAGGGCAAAATGGTCATTTTTAGGGTTTTGACTGCACAAAGGCAATTTTTGACTGTTTGACCTAGCCAATGGCAAACCAAGCTCACATATGGACTCAAGGACCCCATGGAATTATCTTGACATGCTCAAAAAATTCAAAAGATCCCAAGTACACAAGATTGACAGTTGAATTTCCCAGTCAATTGATCAATTTTGACTGTATACTGAAAAGTCAAACTTTGACTTTTTGGTCAAAATCAAGGGTCAAGATTCATTTTTCATCAAAACATGCCAAATCATGAAACTTGTTCACCAAGAAATCAAGAAATGCAAATTAGGGTTTGAAATGGGAATTTTTCATAACTTAGAATTTTTCTAAGTTATGGAAAACCCTAATTTTTTCCCAACTTTGCCCCACTTTCTCACCAAGATTCATTTGGATTCAAACAAAAGTCAAAACATGAGAGTTATAGCTTGTTGCATAATCTACAACTTTTATTCACAAAGTTTTCCCAAATGAGGCTTGTATCTCAAGTTACAATTTTTTGAATAAGGGTACTAAACCATTCTTAACTTAGTGAAATTTTAACCTATTTTGGCAAGGTTTTCTACCTAACTTCAAGGCCATTTTCCATACACTTCCACTTGGAATTTCAGCTTGCATTTCAAAGATGGATTGTAGTACACATTCCAAACTTTCCAAAATGTACAAGAACTCATCAAACAACCTCATGACTTGAGAGAATCGAATTTCACAATATGACAAAAACTCACTTTTGAATTGACTATTTTCCATGTTCATAATTTGTGCAAACTTCTCAAACCAGCATGCCCCTTGATTACAGGTCCTTAAACCATCCAACACTCAATAATTTAATGCATGTTCATTGTGCTAAGGCCTTGTTTCATGAGTTCAAGCATTGC